TTCTTTGTGTTTTGATGAAAATAATTGTTGGGTTCTCTATGTTTTGCTGGTTTATTTTGGTTATCTTGTTGTTTTTGTCTGCATTCAGCGATACTGTGTCCGTATCATCGACAATAATTACACCATTTTTTGAATGACGGTTTGCTTTTGAAATTTGGGTTTTTTTTCGTAAATGTTCAAAATTTTGGTGATTTTTTTCGGATAAATCAGTATCAGAGTCGTTGATATTGTTTATGTGCAAAAAAGTGGTCTGGATGTTGTTTACATATTGAAGTTTTAAGTTTTCTAAAAAAAACTTAAGTTTTAAAATCTAAATCTGGTTCTCGGATTGCTCTCTTTTTTATTGCTTTTTTTCGTAATTGAGGTGTTAGAGTCATCCTTAGGATTTCTGTCATCTTTGTGTTTTTATAATCATGAAAATTAAGTGAATATGTTTTTCGGATTAGTGTTTCTATTCTTACTGCCAGTTGTTTTATTGTTTCATTAGGTAGTCTACGAATTTTGTTGCATAAAACTCTTTGATGTTGTTTGTTTCTTCCTGAGTCAAACTTTGTAGAGAATTCTTGTGCGGATCTTTTCCAATCTGACTTTATTTCTATAGGTAAAACTGAAAACCATTTTTCAGCTGCGCTGTCAAAGGTAGTTTGGATTAGAGCTGTGCGTCTATAAATCCCATTTTGATGAAGTGGCGTGTTTACTGGTTCAGGTCCTATATTTAAAATTAAATTTGCTGTGTTTGCGTTTAGATAATCTTCTACAGAGTAATCAGGATATGTGCCTTTGAATACCATTACTGGTTTATTTGATGTTATTGATGATCCACCCATTAGGTACGGATTCATAGTCATTTGTAGAGATTCTGCGGCATGTGGCATTTGAGAAAACCTTTTTAGTTGGCTTTTTGTTATTTCGTGTTGTTGTAAACAATATGGTAGTGGATTTTCATTTTGCATCTGAGTTGGTTGGTATGAAATTGTATTAACTGGATTTTGTTGTTTAAAATTATGGTTGTAAGGTGTTGGGTTAGTTCTAGGTTGTCCTATTTGTTCATTTCAAGAGTATGGTTCAAAAATATCTGGTTGATCAATACTGTAAGAACGAGTTCTTGGATTTGAGGAAAGTCGTTGATGATTTTGATTATAGTATTCATCATCGTCTGATGGAAAATAATTTTGTGCGTAATGATGAGGTTGATTTCTAGTATGGTATTTATTTGCATTGTGTTTCCGTGGTTGGAAAAATGGGTAGTTTCCATCTTGTTCTTGCAAGGATCGTGGTTGATTATGAAAATTTACTGAGTTTTAGATTGGTTGTGATACATTTTGACTTTGTGTGAATATATTTGAGTATTTGTTTTTGTTTTTGTCGTTTTTGGTTAGTTGACATACTTGTAATTGTGTTCTGCAAAATTATTTCTGTGTTGTCTGTATGATGGCTTTTTTACGGGTCGAAATCTTTGGTTATCCATCAGTGAATACTTATTTTGCAACAGAGGGTTTTACTGTGGATTGTATGATTGTTTGTTGTAACGTTGGATTTTTTAGTTTTGGAGTTGTAAATTTTGGTTGAACAGGTGAGATACTTCGTTGTGCTTCTATTGTTGTTATTCTTTCAACAATTTCATCGTTTACAGAATGTGATGGGTTTGTACATCTTGTTGTGTAAGATTTCTTGTTCCGTTTAGATAATCATTTTTTATGAGCTTGGAATTTAAACTATTATTTCGTGTTCTTTCAGGTAAAAATGAATTGTAGTGTAAAGGTGTTGCGTCAACAGTAAGTGGATATTCTCTAACATAATCTTTATTAATAAAAATAGTGCTAATTGCCTGACTTGATATATCTGCTGGTATATTGATAAATAATTCAGGGTGCCATACATAGTCAGATTGCTCTGCTAGTACAGTTTCATCATCTGTACTTTGTGGTGAAAAATTTTTTCTGGCTTGTTCAATAAGATCAATATTGTGACTAAAATAATCAATTATGAACCATGCTAAGATTTTTCGTGAATCGTGTTTAACATTTTGTGTTATTTGATCATTTGTTAGGTTTTCTCGAATTGCATTTAAAATTTTTGAAAATATGTGTATTTCCTGCCTTACAACTGTATGTCGAGATGTTTGAGTAGATAATTCGCTTTGGATTTCATCTAATTCTAATATAGATATATAGCTATAGATAAGTGAGAATACGTCGCTTGTAAATATCGAGTTTGCTCTTTGAGAGTTTTGGTGTTGTATGTTTTTGATGTTTTGTGTAAAAACCTTTGAGAATTCTATATCTACATCGTCAGTTTGAATGAGATATCTGTTATGTGATGCATTTGGTGATATGATTTCTATTGTGTAGATTTCAAAGTGTGATGCGAGGATACTTATTCCTTTGAGATAGTGATCGAGAAGTTTGCAATTAAGTTTTTTTACAAAATTCTATTTGTCCGCGAGATATTAGTTGTGATATTAAAAATGGAAGTACTGATTTTTCTGAGTTATCTTCATTTGGGATCTTTTTTGTGTTGTATTACTGTTAATGTGTAGTTTTCAATGTGTCTTGTTGGTTGATTCCAATTGTACAATTGTATTGGCTTGTTTGCGTAGCATTTTTTTATTTTCCGTTTGCCTTTTACTGATGATTGTGATGGGGTTTCTGAATCTGTGAAATATAGTTGATCGTCTATCTGGTGATTTTTGTTTATTGAGTTTTTAAATTATGAAGTTCGTGTTTTGCGGTTGTTTCTGATTCTGAAACTGCGTTTCTTCGTTTGGAGAACTTTTTCATAATAATTTGTTTTAGTTTGTTTATTATCTTTTTTCTTAGTCTTTGTCTTTTTGTTCGTAAATATCCTACTGATTGTCTGTGTGGTGTGATTACAAGGTCGTATTTCTCGTTGTTAATTAAACAATTGTGTATTATGATTGTTTGTTTGTTTCCTAAATTGTCTTTGACATAAGGTTTAGGATGATTGATGCACAATCTCGATTAGTGATTTTAATTCCTTAAACTGTTAGTTCTTAAATTTTTTGTGGTTAGCCTAACTTGGGTCGTATTTTCGGGCTGGGGAGAAAGCGTATATCGACTCCGAAGAATGATTTGTACTCTCTGGTGGCTAATTCTAAGCTAAGATTTGACCTACTTAATCTTACTTAGGGGTTATGATTTGTGATCAAGGTTTGGAGAAAAGTAAATCGATCCACTAGGTTCAGGTATAATTACAACGCTAGTAGTTGGTTAGATAATATTTTATGACTTACTAAGTTTATGTGTTTTAGCCTGGGTTATCTAAGAGGAGTGGGATCAAGTGAAGGATGAGTAACCGAAGTTCTTCACTGTTTAGCTTCATTAAAATGGTTGGTTTTTCGATAAGTTTCTGTTAATGCTGGGATTTAAATTTAAATATTTTAAAATTTAAGATATAATTCAATGTAAAGATCCAAGGCAAGCCTTGATGATCTGTTATTTAAATGAAATTAATTTAAGTGAAAGTAAATCTAAGCCTTGATAGTTTAAAATTAGTGCGACCCAAGTTGTCTTTTTATTTCAAATATACTCTCTGGTGGCTGATTACTGTTAATGTTTTTGATGTTTTGTGTAAAAACCTTTGAGAATTCTATATCTACAACGTCAGTTTGAATGAGATATCTGTTATGAGATGCATTTGGTGATATGATTCCTATTGTGTAGATTTCAAAGTGTGATGTGAGACTACTTATTCCTTTAAGATAGTGATCGAGAAGTTGTCTTTTTATTTTTACATCTGGACATTCTTTTTTTTATGCATGGACATTCTCCTTTTTTAAATTAGTTTGCTGTTATGTTTTAGGTGATGAAGCTGGGATGATATGATGAAATATAATACTAACAATTTATAATTTATACTAACTAATTTTTGTATTTTTTTTTAATAAATGTTTTTTCAAGATGTTATCTGATTTACAGATGTTATCTGATTTAAGGAAAATGACAAGTGTTGTTTTTATCAGTAGTTATTGTACATTTAGTAGGTTTAGCGCCATGAAAGGTTATTTGAAAGTATTTTTAATTTCAAATATTATGTCAGTAAATGAAAATTTAAATTTACTGCTGGTAGTATTCTAAAAACAAAAGTTTGATCTCGTTTTTGTCGTACTATCATGAAATCAATTGGTAGATTTCTTCCTAGTCGTATGTCGGTTCTTGTTCGACGTCTCCTTCCAATACCGTGTAGTTCTCGTATTGTTCGGAATATTGGATCTGATCTATTGAGGCGTAGAGACCTATCTACTAAGTTTTTGTCATATATCATTTTTATGAAATGTTGTATTTGTCTAACTCTAATCTCATTTTGTCTAATGCTAGGTTTTTTAAGGTCTGTTCGAGACTTTTGGTCGCACCAGATGAGTTATGTATAGATCACTGTACTCATAGAGTAATTTCAGATAAGGTACACTGTCTGCCCGTCACGCTATCTTACTTTCGGCCGGATAGATTCGTGCAACTTCTTAGTTTAATAACGATCTTAATCTTACTCTTATATATCCTAGTCTCAATAGATCTTGTGTACACCGGTTTACGCGAGTTAGTTCCAGAATGAGAACAACTGTTTTCTAAGTTTAATTCAAATTGTTCTGGTGCTGAAACTACAAGTAGTTTCAACACTTTACAAATAAATAGGTTGTTAGTTTTATGGAATATGATTTGTTAGTATTTAATATTTTATAGAGATAAAATATGATAATAATAACCAATTATAAATACTAGTTTAGATCTGGTTCCAATATATGACTTCAAAACTATACCACAAACAGGTTAAAAGCTAGACTGCTGTGAGACGATCGTATTTCAAACAAAACGATCCCGATAAGCAAACCGGAATATTTAAACGGCTGATGAAAGTCATTGTGTTCTAGCTATCAAGGTAATATATTCAGAATTAGGAGTCACTTTAGAATTTAAGGGGGGGGGGGAGCTATTCAAAAACAATACAAGAACTTACAATAAAATATCATTAAAGCAACTAACGTGAATCTGAGCTGACTTTGTAGCCGGAGCTTCTTTTCCTGTTCATTTCAGCCCAAAGGTCGGAAATGATAAGTAAAAGGAAATTCTATTAAAAACAGACTCAGAAAACTTCCAAATCAGAAAATAGCGTTGATTGTCCCACCAATTTAGCTAGTCAAAAATGACGCAGTTTCTAATTATTTTGCTGACGCTGATAATCAACAAAAATAAACAACCGGTACGTCAAATGTCACACAAAATCAATTCCTCCTTTTAAACTATACGGAGAGAAGAACACTTTTGTAGTTGTTCTGTTTTCAAGTTAGATATGATAAAAATGGACTTGCTTTGGAGCAATTATTGACGATGGCTTGACTTAACTGCAGATAAGTGAACTACCTCCCTTTCCTTTCCTTTCCTTTGCTCAAACCGACTAAGAAAGTGCTGTGAATTAATTCAAGGCAGCGGAAACCCAAACTTTATCGTCCCTATAGTTTTCCTCCTTTCCTTCCAGAAGTTGTTGAAATAACAAAATTGTTCAACTAATTTTCAGTTCTGTCAAACAACAACAAAAAACGCATTTTGTTAACAGTCAATACGACTTGAATTGGCAATTAGGGAAAGCCGGTGGATAGAAGATAACTGTGGCCCCGCATCTCTTCCTTTCCCGATATTAAGTGGCTTACCTGTAATAGAAGCCAACCCGCCCACAAACGAGGCGAGCTTGGAAAAGGGATCACCGCAATGACTCTTGATCACGCAGCCACTTATTGTTCAGCCAAAAAAAAATAAGCGAAAGGTGTTCGATGAACTGAAGCTGTTTTTCATCACTTCAGTTCCGCATTCAATCAAAAACAAATTATGCTTCAATAAATAACGCATACATTTTCATGCTACAAGCCTGTTTTTGGGGCCAATCAGATTGCAACATATCGGCATGAACAATAAGACTCTTTTCAGCATGAGATGATGAAGAAGCTTGCGTTATTCAGAATATTTAACCATAGTAGCGAACAAACTAGATTTCAAAAAGTAATGAGCAAACTTAAAAGCACGGTAAGTGAAAAAAAAAACAAAGGATTGAGAAAAAAAACGTGAAAAAAGACAAGAAAATCGTCATTCAATACAAAATATCCCCAGAGCTGATGGCTGACTTTCTTCGAAAAAAGTGAGGATCTCTCTAATAAACCCCCCCTCTATCGTATACCTACCCGCTCTGACCAAAATGGTTTCGGATCGATTTAAATTGATTTTAAATCGATTTTAAACCGATCCAAATCGATTAACAATGTACAATTTACGAACTTAAATGGATTTTACATCGAATTAAATCGATCTTCTTTGAAAACTTCAAATGGATTTGAGTGTCTTAAAAATCGATCAAATCGATTTGGATGGATTTTCAGACTCACTAAAATCTTTTTTTTTTTGCTGACAAGGAGAAAAAAACATACCCTTTAAAAAATTGTTGGAATTTCTATTCTCGATTTATTAAACATAAACACCATACTAGATGCTATAGAATTCAATCAAAAGATCCACATATATCAGATTTTAAGCTCGAAATAAGGCAATGAAAAAATAGAAAAATTTTGTATCTCAGATTTTGCAAAATATTATGTAACAAACAAGAAAAGGGTGAGAATAAATTAAAAATTGATCTCGTTAATATGCAATTAAATAAGAGAAAATTATGAAGAGAAATCAGATTTTGGGCAAAACTTATAAAACAAATCAAGAAAAGGCTCAATATAGATCACTTTTTGAACTGAAAATATGCAAAAAAATTCTTAGAATTTTATCGATACTTTGGTATTTTTATTTGGTCTTTTTTATGCTACAATACGCTATGGATGTAAAATGAAAAATGATCAATAAAAAAATGCAATCAAAATTCAAAACTGATAAATCTCGAATGGAAAAATTCGATTTAAATTCGAAAAATAAAAACAAATTCAGACTGGAAAAAATTGCAATAAAATTGATTTAAAATTGATCTGGATCATATTTTTTAGCTGAGATTTAATATCAAATTAAATCGATTTTAAATCAATCCAAATCAGTCCTCATCTTTTTTTAATCTTCGTGCTTTTTTCATACTAAAGTCGATCTAAATTTAATCAACGTATTTTTTCATACTAAAATCGATCTTAATTTAATCAACGTACTTTTTTCATACTAAAATCGATCTTAATTCATTTTTGTCAGTGCGGGTAGTATTGAATTGCCATTCCTATGAAGAATTAATTCAACGGTTAAGCACATGTGAATTTTGTACTTAACAAGTCTCCCCAATTTTGCAAAAGAAGGAAAACAGTTAAGGAGATCCAAAAGTAAGTTGATCCTGGGCTTTCCGCTGAACAATGCGATCAAGGCTATCAATGGGGGAGGGCAAAGTATGCGGGTAAGAACCCATTGAAAAAGAGTGGAAAGTTAGACATAATATAGGCCAATTAGAGCACTAAAATTCAAGTCACAGTCTCCAATTTTTTATAAAAACCACTCACGTAAAGACGATAACTATTCATTTGGACAAAAGCCCCATTGTTTTTAAGCCAACTGGTATGAGCTTTGAGTGCTTGGTAGTTCCTTGAAGCTTCATATGGAGAACGGAATCGACTAGTTAGCCTTCTGGTAGCTAAGGCATGAATATGAATATGAATATAAAAGAGTTCAAGTCTAATCTCACATCACATAGTAACTGATTAAATTTAACTCCCTAGTTGAGCACTCAGCATCGATTATCTCTGTTTCATTCAGAGACCACCAAAATCGTTTATTTAGGCTCTGAGCAGTGTCATTCTGAACATTATCAACACTCCATATCATAAAACAAATGCGATCAAAATATCAGTACTGAATGAGCGCCAAATCATTTTTGTTTCAAACTTCATTGCAGGAATCTAAGATCTAAGCGTCCATCAACAGTTTTGTAGTAAGCAAGGTTTGCGTAACTTAGCAAAAACTGCTGCTCATACAAAATTTGAGATTCAAGCTGAATTTAACAATATTTCATAACTGATTTCTCACTGATTCATTGTTGAGTTGCTGCGTTTTTCATGAATGAACTTCAGGCGTTTCAGAAAACAACTTATTGCTTCTTTGAAAAAATAATTACACTACAACCGAACTCAAGTGAAACCTGGAATAAGTTAAACTCTGGGCATAGTAAGTGATATCAGATAATGTTTGACAAAAAGGAAACAAAAGTCCTCCCGCTTTGTCCAAAAAGTTGTACAGTTGAGATTTTATTAAGACAAAAGCTGTGTGAGAGCTTGCTTATGAAAGATTAGGACACATACTACCCTGTTTTGCCATTGGATAAAAAAATCAATACATTCGAAAATAAAACAAAAAAAATAAATTATTTTAAAAACAAATGAAACAATCAATAAAAAATGGAAAAACTGTAGAAAAAACTTGAGAAAATAAACAATCAAAAAAAATAGGTTCCTGATTAGACCATGACAAATTTGGTATTCAAAATTAACTATATAAAAGTACTCGTTTCGTCACAAAATTCGTGCTCGTATGTGGTGTGGGAAAAGGAAAAAGAGCTCTTTTTAATTTGATAAAAATCGCAGTTTTTTTAATCTACCTACTTCTTTTTTCTTAGCTTGTTTCCCTAAAATGTTTTTTTAAGTTGCCCATTCTTTTGTTTAATTTTTTATTTGTGATATATTGGCTTTTATTTTTTTTTGGTGTAAGTTGTCTGGTGTACTTATTTTTATCATTAAAACAATACAGTTCGCTTACTAATTATTTAGTAACAATCAAATTGAACTACTAGTGAATAAAAAAACAAAAAAGAATTAAATAACAAAAACAAAAAATACAACTAAACTTTCTGTAAAGAATAAACATCAAAATATGTAACAAAAAAAAACATAATAAAGTAGAAAAAGTGGTAAAGAAAAATTCAAGCAAAAAAACTATTTGAAAAAGCAAAAATGAAAAAAGAAAGTAAAAACCGCTTCAAAACTTTGAAAGATAATTATACTTTTGATGAATTAACTCTTTGAGAAAAAGAGCACAAAAAAAGTATATGGATTTAAACGAAAATTATTCAAGTCTATAGAAACAGAAACAAAGGATTCAATTATTGCACAACCAACTGAAAACATACAAAGAAAAAAATTATACTAAAAAGCACATTCAATAAACTTTTCGAAAAATATTAAAAAAAAAGAATGAAGAATTTGGAAAAATTGAAACTAGCAAAAAATTAATCAACAAAACTAAAAATTTAATTGAGACAAACGAATATTTATATAGATAGAAATTACATTTAGATGAAGAATAAAAATCAAAATTAAATTAAGAATTCAGTTCCAAAACCAAACAAAAACAGAAAACGCGAAAGATTAAATTTAAAAGAACAATTGAAAAACCTATAAGGAAAGATATAATTAAACCAAAACAATTCAAAATTATTGAAAACAAAAACTATAAAAAAATAAAATGGAAGTTGAAAAATAAATGAAGGAATACGCAATTAAACAAATAAACAAAACTTAATAAACAAAAAAGCACTAATAAATGAGCAAAACATTAATTTACACCTTAAATGATTAAATGATTAATCAATAAATTTAAAAGATTTAATTGAACAATTACTTGCAATACCAAACAAATATAGCATCGCGAGCTATCAGACAGAAATTGAAGGCCATTAAGTAAAAACAAACCAAAAAAATGTTCCGAAGCAGGTATGGAGCTTCAACTAGGCCAAGAAAGTGTCAAAAAAATTTCTGCTGAGCCAAAAACTAAATAGAACAATTTTTGTATGTTTTTTATGTAAAAATTTAGCTCAAAAATTGTTATACAAAACCACTTCGGCAAAATTATGCCTATAGCAAAAATTTGGGTTCGTAATTTTATAAATTTTGAGGGTAAATCAAATAAAGTGCAATTACAAAGAAAAAACTTTAACAATAAAAAAAATCAATGATGTGGTAACAAAGCTAACAATTAGTTTAAAACAAGTTGACAAAAATAAAACCAACGATTGGCTTGAAAGTTTGTTGAAACCGAAAGTTTTTTTCAAAAGAGTATGAATTGACCGCATTTGAACCTAGATTCTTAACACTCCCAAATTATTCATTCGCTCCAGACCATAAGAGAAGCAAAAGTGAAAAATTTTGAATACTTCGGAAATTAATTTAACAAATGACTAAATTGATATTGTTGACATCCTTATTAACCAGAAAAAAAAACATAAGATTACGATTTGATATCAAAAAATGAAGTATCAAATAAACAACTAAAAATCTAGAAAAATGAGTAAATCGGCAAACAATTAATTTATTGAAAAATCTCTTCGTTAAATCAATTAAGTAGAAAATTTAATTATCTTTTCGCATAGAAAAAAAAACTATTTAAATAGTGAATCAGTAAATATGTTAAAAAGTTTTTAAAAAACATAAGTGAGTGAATGTCGCAAAACTGTACAAAAAAAAAGAGTTCAAGTAGGATAAAGGACAAACTGCATTTATAATTTTTTGAAAGTAACTTTCTCTTGTTACGTCTGCTGGTACTCGATTCGTCTCTCATTGAGTAATTTGAGATCAAGAACCCCGTCTGTTTGTATCGGGGTCTATCTTTAGCCGCAAAGAATTGTGAATTTTTTCGGTCCATATTTTTTTCAAACTAACTTACTTAATT